ACTGGAAGAGCTTCAACTAGCATTCATTCTGACTGGAAGAGCTTCAACTAGCATTCATTCTGACTGGAAGAGCTTCAACTAGCATTCATTCTGACTGGAAGAGCTTCAACTAGCATTCATTCTGACTGGAAGAGCTTCAACTAGCATTCATTCTGACTGGAAGAGCTTCAACTAGCATTCATTCTGACTGGAAGAGCTTCAACTAGCATTCATTCTGACTGGAAGAGCTTCAACTAGCATTCATTCTGACTGGAAGAGCTTCAACTAGCATTCATTCTGACTGGAAGAGCTTCAACTAGCATTCATTCTGACTGGAAGAGCTTCAACTATGCATTCATTCTGACTGGAAGAGCTTCAACTAGCATTCATTCTGACTGGAAGAGCTTCAACTAGCATTCATTCTGACTGGAGGAGCTTCAACTAGCATTCATTCTGACTGGAAGAGCTTCAACTAGCATTCATTCTGACTGGAAGAGCTTCAACTAGCATTCATTCTGACTGGAAGACCTTCAACTAGCATTCATTCTGACTGGAAGAGCTTCAACTAGCATTCATTCTGACTGGAAGAGCTTCAACTAGCATTCATTCTGACTGGAGGAGCTTCAACTAGCATTCATTCTGACTGGAAGAGCTTCAACTAGCATTCATTCTGACTGGAAGAGCTTCAACTAGCATTCATTCTGACTGGAAGAGCTTCAACTAGCATTCATTCTGACTGGAAGATCTTCAACTAGCATTCATTCTGAGTGGAAGAGCTTCAACTAGAATTCATTCTGACTGGAAGGGCTTCAACTAGCATTCATTCTGACTGGAAGAGCTTCAACTGCATTTATTCTGACTAGAAGAGCTTCAACTAGCATTTATTCTGTCTGCAAGATCTTCAACTAGCATTCATTCTGACTGGAAGAGCTTCAACTAGCATTTATTCTGACTAGAAGAGCTTCAACTAACATTTATTCTGTCTGCAAGAGCTTCAACTAGCATTCATGCTGACTGGAAGAGCTTCAACTACCATTCATTCTGACTGGAAGAGTTTCAATTACCACTCATTCTGACTGGAAGAGCTTCAACTAGCACTCATTCTCACTGGAAGATCTTCCACTACCACTCATTCTGACTGGAAGAGCTTCAACTACCACTCATTTTGACTGGAAGAGCTTCAACCAGCACTCATTCTGACTGGAAGAGCTTCAGCTATCACTCACTCTGACTGGAAGAGCTTCAACCACCACTCATTCTGACTGGAAGAGCTTCAACCAGCACTCATTCTGACTGGAAGAGCTTCAGCTATCACTCACTCTGACTGGAAGAGCTTCAACCACCACTCATTCTGACTGGAAGAGCTTCAAACAGCACTCATTCTGACTGGAAGAGCTTCAACTACCACTCATTTTAACTGGAGGAGCTTCAAATAGCACTCATTCTTACAGGAGGAGCTTCAACTACCACTCATTCTGACTGGAAGAGCTTCAAATAGCAGTCATTGTGACTTGAAGAGCTTCAACTAGCACTCATTGTGACTGGAAGAGCTTCAACTACCACTCATTCTGACTGGAAGAGCTTCAAACAGCACTTATTCTGACTGGAAGAGCTTCAAATAGCACTCATTCTTACTGGAAGAGCTTCATGACATAACTGAGATTCTGAAAACAGACAGAAATATACTTTTGGAGCTGTTGGTATATTTAAGATGTCAGCAGGAGAGCACCTGAAGTCTCCAGAGAACATCCATCAACATTCGGATTAATTATTTTTGATGTCGTTATTGTAGAAGATAGAAAAGGAAAAAAACAAAGTATATTTAGTGAGAAAAGGGGTTGTGCGTATAAAATATTTTCCTGCGAGCATGTGAACGAGGAATATTATATTTCGCCAGGAGAAAGCGACTCTTTCATTATATATTTTATTTAGAAAAAGACATATAACTGGGTAGAGCGAGACGTGGCAATATGGAATATGTAAATTATTAAAACCAGTAAGGAATATTTATAAGCTATGAGAGATTTGGATGAGTAACGTCACGGATAAATGGGTCGTCCGGGAGACATGGGGTCATTAGACAGTCTTGCTTAATTAAAAAAATGTTAATATCAGTTCCTTATTCGAATAGCTATATTACCTCTAGTTAAATAGCTATATTACCTCTAGTTAAATAGCTATATTACCTCTAGTTAAATAGCTATATTACCTCTAGTTAAATAGCTATATTACCTCTAGTTAAATAGCTATATTACCTCTAGTTAAAATAGCTATATTACCTCTAGTTAAATAGCTATATTACCTCTAGTTAAATAGCTATATTACCTCTAGTTAAATAGCTATATTACCTCTAGTTAAATAGCTATATTACCTCTAGTTAAATAGCTATATTACCTCTAGTTAAATAGCTATATTACCTCTAGTTAAATAGCTATATTACCTCTAGTTAAATAGCTATATTACCTCTAGTTAAATAGCTATATTACCTCTAGTTAAATAGCTATATTACCTCTAGTTAAATAGCTATATTACCTCTAGTTAAATAGCTATATTACCTCTAGTTAAATAGCTATATTACCTCTAGTTAAATAGCTATATTACCTCTAGTTAAATAGCTATATTACCTCTAGTTAAATAGCTATATTACCTCTAGTTAAATAGCTATATTACCTCTATAGTTAAATAGCTATATTACCTCTAGTTAAATAGCTATATTACCTCTAGTTAAATAGCTATATTACCTCTAGTTAAATAGCTATATTACCTCTAGTTAAATAGCTATATTACCTCTAGTTAAAAATAGCTATATTACCTCTAGTTAAATAGCTATATTACCTCTAGTTAAATAGCTATATTACCTCTAGTTAAATAGCTATATTACCTCTAGTTAAATAGCTATATTACCTCTAGTTAAATAGCTATATTACCTCTAGTTAAATAGCTATATTACCTCTAGTTAAATAGCTATATTACCTCTAGTTAAATAGCTATATTACCTCTAGTTAAATAGCTATATTACCTCTAGTTAAATAGCTATATTACCTCTAGTTAAATAGCTATATTACCTCTAGTTAAATAGCTATATTACCTCTAGTTAAATAGCTATATTACCTCTAGTTAAATAGCTATATTACCTCTAGTTAAATAGCTATATTACCTCTAGTTAAATAGCTATATTACCTCTAGTTAAATAGCTATATTACCTCTAGTTAAATAGCTATATTACCTCTAGTTAAATAGCTATATTACCTCTAGTTAAATAGCTATATTACCTCTAGTAAGCTTCGTCAAGGGTGACGATGCTTACTAGAGGTAATATAGCTATTTAAAAAAGCTAGTGTCAAGAGATGAAATTAACTAACGAAATCGTAATAACACGAATGTAAACAAACCAAGGAACCGGTGGGGTTTGAACACAGGGCGAGTGAGTCGTAAAACTCAGAGGCCAGTGCGTTAACCACTGGACCACACTGCCTCTAACAAGAGTCAACCAATTTAGATACATTTCTAAACACCAAAGGAAAGTTACCATGTTAAGATCATCATGAATTATTATTAAAATAATGTGTAGTTGTATAGGTAAGCTAATTTAAGACGTAAGTTCATTTTCCAAATAACGGTGTCAATTGAGAGAGAAAACTAGTGGATTTCTCCTCCACAGTCCAAAAATATCTTCTCCATCGTGGCTACACCTTCGTGTTATATCTGTCGGGACTCAGGCAACACCAACATCCCCGGGTAATCACAGTCACTACCAACATCTCCGGGTAATCACAGTCACTACCAACATCCCCGGGTAATCACAGCCACTACCAACATCCCCGGGTAATCACAGCCACTACCAACATCCCCGGGTAGTCACAGCCACTACCAACATCCCCGGGTAATCACAGTCACTACCAACATCCCCGGGTAGTCACAGCCACTACCAACATCCCCGGGTAGTCACAGCCACTACCAATATCCCCGGGTAATCACAGCCACTACCAACATCCCCCGGTAGTCACAGTCACTACCAATATCCCCGGGTAATCACAGTCACTACCAACATCCCCGGGTAATCACAGTCACTACCAACATCCCCGGGTAGTCACAGCCACTCCCAACATCCCCGGGTAATCACAGTCACTACCAACATCCCCGGGTAATCACAGTCACTACCAACATCCCCGGGTAATCACAGTCACTACCAACATCCCCGGGTAATCACAGCCACTACCAACATCCCCGGGTAGTCACAGCCACTACCAACATCCCCGGGTAATCACAGTCACTACCAACATCCCCGGGTAGTCACAGCCACTACCAACATCCCCGGGTAGTCACAGCCACTACCAATATCCCCGGGTAATCACAGCCACTACCAACATCCCCCGGTAGTCACAGTCACTACCAATATCCCCGGGTAATCACAGTCACTACCAACATCCCCGGGTAATCACAGTCACTACCAACATCCCCGGGTAGTCACAGCCACTCCCAACATCCCCGGGTAATCACAGTCACTACCAACATCCCCGGGTAATCACAGTCACTACCAACATCCCCGGGTAATCACAGTCACTACCAACATCCCCGGGTAATCACAGCCACTACCAACATCCCCGGGTAGTCACAGCCACTACCAACATCCCCAGGTAGTCACAGTCCCCAGGTAGCCACCAACCCCCATATCACAAACCTCACCCCAACAGCTGTCCCTTATGGGCATTCTGACCCCACCCCCATCAACACAAACCCCACCTACACCACAGCCCCATATAGGCCCCCACCAAGGCTCTCGCTCCCCCAATCCCAATATACTTGCATGACCACAATGATAGAAAAGAAACTAAAGGTCTGGTACACAAACGCGGATGGAATAACGAATAAACATGAGGAGTGGAATGAAAGAATCAGTGAAAAATCCCCAGACATCATAGCAGTCACAGAAACAAAACTCGCTGAGACAATAACAGACACAATCTTCCCAACAGGATATCAGATCCTGAGGAAAGATAGAAGGAGTAGAGGGGGAGGAGGGGTTGCACTGCTCATAAAACACCAATGGGGATTTGAGGAAATGGAAGGCATGGACATGATTGGAGAAAGAGACTACATTGTAGGTACAATTCAGTCCGGAGAACATAAAGTAGTCATTGGAGTGATGTATAACCCACCACAGAACTGCAGGAGGCCAAGAGAGGAGTACGAAGAAAACAACAGGGTGATGGTGGACACACTGGCTGAGGTGGCAAGAAGAGCTCACTCGAGCAGAGCAAAGTTACTGGTAATGGGCGATTTCAACCACAGGGAGATCGACTGGGAAAACCTGGAGCCACATGGGGGTCCCGAAACATGGAGAGCCAAGATGATGGATGTGGTACTTGAAAACCTCATGCATCAACATGTCAGGGACACAACCAGAGAGAGAGGGGAGGATGAGCCAGCAAGACTGGATCTTGTGTTCACCCTGAGCAGTTCAGACATCGAGGACATCACTTACGAGAGGCCCCTTGGAGCTAGCGATCATGTGGTTCTGAGTTTTGACTATATAGTAGAGTTACAAGTGGAGAAGGTAACAGGAACTGAAGGGGACAGGCCAAACTATAAAAGGGGGGGACTACACAGGTATGAGAAACTTCCTGCAGGAGGTTCAGTGGGACAGAGAAATGGTAGGAAAATCAGTAAACGAGATGATGGAATATGTGGCAACAAAGTGCAAGGAGGCAGAGGAAAGTTTTGTTCCCAAGGGAAACAGAAATAATAGGAAGACCAAAACGAGTCCTTGGTTTACCCGAAGGTGTAGGGAGGCAAAAAACTAAGTGCAACAGAGAATGGAAAAGGTACAGGAGGCATAGGACCCAGGAAAACAAGGAGATTAGTAGAAGAGCCAGAAACGAGTATGCGCAGATAAGGAGGGAGGCCCAGCGACAGTATGAAAACGACATAGCATCGAAAGTCAAATCTGACCCGAAACTGCTGTATAGCCACATTAGGAGGAAGACAACAGTCAAGGACCAGGTGATAAGGCTGAGGAAAGAAGGTGGAGAACTCACAAGAAACGATCAAGAGGTATGTGAGGAGCTCAACACGAGATTTAAGGAAGTATTTACAGTAGAGACAGGAAGGACTCTAGGGGGAAAGACCAGATGGGGACACCAACAAGGAATACACCAACAAGTGTTGGACGACATACATACAGATGAGGAGGAGGTGAAGAAACTGCTAAGGGACATCGATACCTTAAAGGCAATGGGACCGGACAACATCTCTCCGTGGGTCCTTAGAGAGGGAGCAGATATGTTGTGCGTACCACTTACCACAATCTTCAACACATCCCTGGAAACTGGGCAACTACCTGAGGTATGGAAGACGGCAAATGTAGTTCCCATTTTCAAAAAAGGAGACAGAAAAGAGGCACTAAACTATAGACCTGTGTCATTGACGTGTATAGTATGCAAAATTATGGAGAAGATTATCAGGAGGAGAGTGGTGGAGCACCTGGAACGGAACAGGAGTATAAATGCCAACCAGCACGGATTCACGGAAGGCAAATCCTGTGTCACAAACCTTCTGGAGTTTTATGATAAAATAACAGAAGTAAGACAAGAGAGAGAGGGGTGGGTTGATTGCATCTTCTTGGACTGCAAGAAGGCCTTTGACACAGTTCCTCACAAGAGATTAGTGCAGAAGCTAGAGCATCAGGCGCATATAACGGAAGGCACTGCAATGGTCAGAGAATACCTGACAGGGAGGCAAAAAACGAGTCATGGGACGTAATGATGTATCACAGTGGGCCCCTGTGACGGGCGGGGCCCCCAAGGGGGGTGGGTTTCCTGGCCCTTTTGCTTTTTTTGGTTATAGTAAAACAAACATGACGGAAGGGTTTAGACTAAAAGGTCCCCCGGTTTGCAGTGATGTGAATTTAAAATGAGGAAGAATTTAAATTGATGAGGCCCGGGGCAGGACTTCAAAGAGCCTGGACGGGTTTGGGAACCTGGTCCAGAAATGGTTTCTCAAAATTTAATCCTGCCAAATTTGAAAAGTTGAAGTGGGGGAAAGGGCACAAAAAAGACCAAGACAGAGAAATAGGCTAGGTGGCCAAAGACTGAAAACCCTCACTAAAGGAGAAAGATCTTGGGGTGGGGGTTATAACACCGAGCATGTCTCCGGAAGCAACATCAACAGTAACTGCTGCAGCTTATGGGCCCCTGGAAAAACCTGGAACAGCATTCCGCCCCTTAGTAAGGAATCATTCAAGACACTGTACACCGTGTATGTCGGGCCCCTTATGGGGGTATGCAGCACCTGTTTGGAACCCGCATTGATAAAGCACGTCAAGAAGCAAAGAGAAAGTACAAAGGTTTTGCAACAAGGTTAGTTCCAAGCAAGGGGAATGTCCTATAAAGAAAGATTAAGGGAAATCGGCCCGACGACACTGGGGACGGAGGGTCAGGGGAGGGCATATAAGAATATAAAAAAAAAATGGGGTGGAATAGACAAAAGGGGGACAAGGACGGATTTTTCCAAAGGGGGGGGGAACATAAAAAGAGGCCCCCATTTTGGGAAATTTAAGGGCACAAAAGAGAGAGAAAAATTTGCAGGAAAATATTTCATCAGTATAGAGTTTTAAGGGAGTGGAAAGCCCAGAAAATGACTAGTGGAGGCAGGAAAAAAAACACAGTTTTTAAAACGGGTTTGTTTAAAATATGGAGGGGGGGGAGTGGGGGCCCAGTAGCAAGGTTTAAGGGGGGCGGGGCCCGGAGCTAGGGGCTCGACCCTGCCCAAACCCCAAATAGGTGAGTAAAAAAAAGGTTTAGTTCAGCCCCTACCAAAAATTTCCCCCGGGGAATTTTACAGGCCATACCCAAAATCCCCGGGAAAATCAAAAGCCACTACCCAAAAATCCCCGGGGAATCCCCAGCCCTACCCAAAATCCCCCGGGGAATCACAGCCTTTCCAAAAATCCCCGGGTGTAAAAGCCACTACCCAACTCCCCGGGTAATCACAGCCACTACCAAAATCCCCCGGGGAATCACGCCCCTACCCCCAACATCCCGGGTAGTCCCCAAACCATACCAAAAATCCCGGGTAAACACCGCCAATACCAAACATCCCCGGGTAATCACAGTCACTACCAACATCCCCGGGTAATCACAGCCACTACCAACATCCCCGGGTAATCACAGTCACTACTAACATCCCCGGGTAATCACAGTCACTACCAACATCCCCGGGTAATCACAGCCACTACCAACATCCCCAGGTAATCACAGTCACTACCAACATCCCCGGTAATCACAGCCACTACCAACATCCCCGGGTAATCACAGCCACTACCAACATTCCCGGGTAGTCTCAGCCACTACCAACATCCCCGGGTAATCACAGTCACTACCAACATCCCCGGGTAATCACAGTCACTACCAACATCCCCGGGTAATCACAGCCACTACCAACATCCCCGGGTAATCACAGCCATTACCAACATTCCCGGGTAGTCTCAGCCACTACCAACATCCCCAGGTAATCACAGCCACTACCAACATCCCCGGGTAATCACAGTCACTACCAACATCCCCGGGTAATCACAGTCACTACCAACATCCCCGGGTAATCACAGTCACTACCAACATCCCCGGGTAGTCACAGCCATACCAAACATCCCCGGGTAATCACAGCCACTACCAACATCCCCGGGTAGTCACAGCCACTACCAACATCCCCGGGTAATCACAGCCACTACCAACATCCCCGGGTAATCACAGCCACTACCAACATCCCCGGGTAATCACAGCCACTACCAACATCCCCGGGTAATCACAGTCACTACCAACATCCCCGGGTAATCACAGTCACTACCAACATCCCCGGGTAATCACAGTCACTACCAACATCCCCGGGTAATCACAGCCACTACCAACATCCCCGGGTAATCACAGCCACTACCAACATCCCCGGGTAATCACAGCCACTACCAACATCCCGGGTAATCACAGCCACTACCAACATCCCCGGGTAATCACAGCCACTACCAACATCCCCGGGTAATCACAGCCACTACCAACATCCCCGGGTAATCACAGTCACTACCAACATCCCGGGTAATCACAGTCACTACCAACATCCCGGGTAATCACAGTCACTACCAACATCCCGGGTAATCACAGCCACTACCAACATCCCGGGTAATCACAGTCACTCCCAAAAATCCCGGGTAATCACAGCCACTACCAACATCCCGGGTAATCACAGTCACTACCAACATCCCGGGTAATCACAGCCACTACCAACATCCCGGGTAATCACAGTCACTACCAACATCCCGGGTAATCACAGTCACTACCAACATCCCCGGGTAATCACAGTCACTACCAACATCCCGGGTAATAAACAGCCACTACCAACATCCCGGGTAATCACAGTCACTACCAACATCCCCGGGTAGTCACAGCCACTACCAACATCCCCGGGTAATCACAGCCACTACCAACATCCCCGGGTAGTCACAGCCACTACAACACCCCCGGGTAATCACAGCCACTACCAACATCCCGGGTAATCACAGCCACTACCAACATCCCGGGTAATCACAGCCACTACCAACATCCCGGGTAATCACAGTCACTACCAACATCCCCGGGTAATCACAGTCACTACCAACATCCCCGGGTAATCACAGTCACTACAACATCCCGGGTAATCACAGCCACTACCAACATCCCCGGGTAATCACAGCCATACCAACATCCCGGGTAATCACAGCCACTACCAACATCCCCGGGTAATCACAGCCACTACCAACATCCCCGGGTAATCACAGCCACTACCAACATCCCCGGGTAATCACAGCCACTACCAACATCCCCGGGTAATCACAGTCACTACCAACATCCCCGGGTAATCACAGTCACTACCAACATCCCCGGGTAATCACAGTCACTACCAACATCCCGGGTAATCACAGCCACTACCAACATCCCGGGTAATCACAGCCACTACCAACATCCCGGGTAATCACAGCCACTACCAACATCCCCGGGTAATCACAGCCATACCAACATCCCCGGGTAATCACAGCCACTACCAACATCCCCGGGTAATCACAGCCACTACCAACATCCCGGGTAATCACAGTCACTACCAACATCCCCGGGTAATTCACAGTCACTACCAACATCCCCGGGTAATCACAGTCACTACCAACATCCCCGGGTAATCACAGCCACTACAACATCCCCGGGTAATCACAGTCACTACCAACATCCCCGGGTAATCACAGCCACTACCAACATCCCCGGGTAATCACAGTCACTACCAACATCCCCGGGTAATCACAGCCACTACCAACATCCCCGGGTAATCACAGTCACTACCAACATCCCCGGGTAATCACAGTCACTACCAACATCCCCGGGTAATCACAGTCACTACCAACATCCCCGGGTAGTCACAGCCACTACAACATCCCGGGTAGTCACAGCCACTACCAACATCCCCGGGTAATCACAGCCACTACCAACATCCCGGGTAATCACAGTCACTACCAACATCCCGGGTAATCACAGTCACTACCAACATCCCCGGGTAATCACAGTCACTACCAACATCCCGGGTAATCACAGCCACTACCAACATCCCGGGTAATCACAGCCACTACCAACATCCCCGGGTAATCACAGCCACTACCAACATCCCCGGGTAATCACAGCCACTACCAACATCCCCGGGTAATTCACAGCCACTACAACATCCCCGGGTAATCACAGCCACTACCAACATCCCCGGGTAATCACAGTCACTACCAACATCCCCGGGTAATCACAGTCACTACCAACATCCCGGGTATCACAGTCACTACCAACATCCCGGGTAATCACAGCCACTACCAACATCCCCGGGTAATCACAGCCACTACCAACATCCCCGGGTAATCACAGCCACTACGAACATCCCGGGGTAATTCACAGCCACTACCAACATCCCCGGGTAATCACAGCCACTACCAACATCCCGGGTAATCACAGCCACTACCAACATCCCCGGGTAATCACAGTCACTACAACATCCCCGGGTAATCACAGTCACTACCAACATCCCCGGGTAATCACAGTCACTACCAACATCCCCGGGTAATCACAGCCACTACCAACATCCCCGGGTAATCACAGTCACTACCAACATCCCCGGGTAATCTACAGCCACTACCAACATCCCCGGGTAATCACAGTCACTACCAACATCCCCGGGTAATCACAGCCACTACCAACATCCCCGGGTAATCACAGTCACTACCAACATCCCCGGGTAATCACAGTCACTACCAACATCCCCGGGTAATCACAGTCACTACCAACATCCCCGGGTAATCACAGCCAACTACCAACATCCCGGGTAATCACAGTCACTACCA